TTGTTAGATTTGTAATCGAGTACATTGTTAGATTTGTAATCGAGTACATTATTAGATAGCACGTGAACAGGGGTTAAAAAAGTTTAAAATATTTATGGTAGTGTTGCCTTTGCTTTAATCGGAAATTTTGGCCAAGTTGGGGGGACACCAAACCAAAAATTATAAAGGTCAACATTTTAGGGTGTCACTTTCCCCCGGGCGTAGATTGACAGCACGTGATCACGTCTTATGATGTCACTGCACAAGGCGTTTATAATCATTTCCCTATATTATTATACCCTTATTTCCCTAACCCTAACCCTAACCCTAACCCTAACCCTTTATACTAACACTAATCTTAACACTAACTAATCTTACTTAATCTTAACACTAGTGCTGCCACGTAGCGGCACCCTCAATCTACGCCCGGGGGAAAGTTATTCCCAACATTTTATGTGAGTCAATGAGGAATGTATACATATGTATTTATGGGGAGGGACATAGAGGCAAACAATGTGACCACAGGGTGCCACTGGGATGGGCTTCAGAGGCACCATGGCACTTGCCATCGTCGTTATTGTGCTGAAATTTAACCCCAGTGTGCACATTATGCGCACATTAAATCATTAAAAATTATATTAAGTGCATCACATTATATTATTTTATTTTATTTTATTATTTTATTATTATTTTATTTATTTTATTTTATTTTATTTTATTTTTTTATTTTATTATTTTATTTTATTTTTTTTGTTGGCAGGGTGCATGCATGTGGTGTAGAATATAGTTGCAGTCCATTGACCATAGCATCGGACGATTACGTTACTTCCATCGTTGTGCTCATGTTTGTCTACGACTGTTATTACCATCGCAAGAGTCGTTCATCTTATATATGTGTGGGCAGGATTCTAGGCAAACAAGATTACGAGCGCAATTCCTTTTCAAATGGGTTTGCTTTGGACGTTGTTGATTTCTGTGAAATAGGAATTTTCCAAATTACTTGGCATCTAGTTTCACCAATCTTGTTTTCTGCTATTGCAGGTCCTTTCAGTAACTTGGCAACACAAAGATTTGGAGTGAGGTGGTGCATGATAGCTTCTGGTATTGTTGCAACCCTCGGACAAGCCATCTCCTTTTTTACCACTGACCATTATTTCCTATTCATATCATATGGAGTTATGACAGGTGGCTATTAATGTCTTTCTTTATCTGTAGATCATTTCAGGATTACTGTTATTGTTGCGCCTGTGTTTCGAAAAACAATTTTAGGATAGCGTGAATAAATTAATGTCTTCTGGCGTAGTCAGTGTAAATAGTTGCTGTAGTCATTATTTAAGTAAGTAAAATGTCAGTGGAGCAACATGCTGTGGCGATTTTGTGGCAAGGTTAAATTGTCAGGAATCGATCGATACAGATAAAGTATCAATCATGTACAGTCAAACCTGTATATATGCAGGTCAGTCAAAGGAAACCCCCAAAAGTACTTATTATGGACAGGTATCTATAGAAGTGGGTTGCCTATAACTGCCATTCAAGGAAAACACAACAAACTCAAGATTTTTGATAGACAGCTCTTCGTTCTATAGAGACGTCTGCTGATACAGATTCGACTATTTAGCGATAATGGATCTGACACCAGACAAGTTGGCAGTGATTGACAGACTATCATTACAAACAACATCATTCATTTCCGACGTGGCCATATTTACTTCACCGTTTATATTTTACTACCTCGCTCTCCCTTACAGGAATCGGTCTAGGCGGATCCCACCTACCGGCACTCTACTCGGTCGGGCTCTACTTCGAGAAGCATCGCTACGTTGTCACGGCGATGGCGTTCGCCGGTGGCGCCACCTCTGTGATGATCGCCGGGCCGTTGACGAACTTTCTGAACGAGAGCCTCGGCTGGCGCGGCACGTGTCTGATCAACGCGGGCATGTGCATGCAGATCATTGTAGCCGGCGCGCTGCAGCGGCCCATGCGCCTCAACGATCGCAAGAGCAAGGTGACGCTGCGCGAGATCTTTGCGATGCATCTCTTCAAGGAGCCGAAGATGTCGCTGTACACGTTGAACACGTTCCTCTGGAGTCAGGGCCTGATGATCGTGTTGGTGTTGAGTATCGACTATGCGGTGTCGACCGGCGTGCCGCGCACGCAGGCCGCCTGGCTGATGACAACGATGGGAATATGCACTGTGATTGTGCGCGTCGTTATAGCCTTCATCGGACACGTGCCCCACGCGACCGCGTGGATTTTCAACATAGGTAGGTTACGTAGTCTGTGAATGCGCGGTTGTGCGCACGTTGCTATGTGCATTGGTGTTAATTGTCCGTCTCTAGACGGATTTCTGTCTTGAGAAAAATTCTGTACTTTTTGTTAGAATTTTTTTAATTTTTAGCCAGCGGATATATATGTATAATTTTGGCAGCAACGATATACCAGATTACAGTAGGTTACGTGGCTTGATGCAAACCATATTCAGAAGAAAATGACCCAATTTTAATATTTTTCGATTGCTGAGTCATCTAATGATGTGTTGCAGTCTGTTTTAAGACATGTCTGTTTGTCACTGCATTTATTCTGCATTTTCTGTTGCTGTGTTTTTATCCTGCATTCACCATTGCTCGGTTCAACTTGATTTTCTTCCGCATTTACATTACATACGTTTATGTTTTTGGACAGGTTCAATAGCTCACGGTGCCTGCGGAGTGCTACTGCTAGCATGTAATCATATCATATACTACCACGTCATCCTAGGAGCTTTCGGCATTTCTTACGGCATTAAGATTGCTGTGCTTGCTATGCTCACGATGGATATGTTTGGATTGCACAATTTCCTAGCAGTCTACTCAATGCAGATGTGTGCCATAGGGTTTGGCAGCATGATAGGGATTCCATTGGCAGGTATTCGCTTCTATACTGTTCTAGTAAGCCTACTTTTGTTCCCATTATTTCCTTTATGCGCAACCACAGGCAATGTATCCTTGCAGCCCTATCACTTCTAGATTACACCTATTGAACTTTTGGTGTGCCTGTTCACCCAACTGCTCTTTGTAATGCCCTTTTGTTTTTGTCTCATGCGTTTATCAATTGGTATCTCCCATTCCATGCTTGTACATTCACCTCTTCTGCTTCTCCTAGTTGTGATATTGATTAATAATATGCAAGACATAGAGTATCCTATCTCCTTGGTGACATGCATACTCTATGTCTTGCATATTAATCAATATCCTACGGTTGCTATTGGTTTCTACACACATGCTCTTATTGATCTGCTCACTCATTTACCATTATAAGCTACACCAATACCATGAAAGTAATGAATTCCGGAAAACCCGTTTGTTACGTGAACCACTTTTCCCTGTTACTTTAAAAGGCCCAACCTGTTTACAGGTGGATATATCTATGTATTACATGCATTTTATTGATGCATGGTGATTAGGCACATCATTAAATTTCTGATGTAACACACTGTTCATTCCCTTGAAAAATTGGGTTATCATGTCGTTTTGCAATTTTAAAATGTGGTAATAATTTACAACTTCCAGTTGGGTGAATTTATGTAACCTGAGTTATCGTAATGTTGGGTATTACTGGATATATATATATATATATATCGTAGATACGCTGCATACGCATACATGTGTACCTCATGAATAGCTATGTACGTAGCTTTTGTGTCTGTAGGACAATGTAGGGGGCTGTATATTATTTCGATGCGTTTTTATATTAAGTTTAAAATAGGGCATTTAGTAAAGGAATTGAACTGGCGTTTCAGTGGGTGCATGCAGGGTTGTGGTGAGTACTAGCCAAACGAGGTGGCAGCTGTAGCAGCAGTGCCCTAAATTTTCCATTTCGATTCTTCATTGGTTCGTACTCGGTCTGCATTTCAGCATGACACAGCATAAATCTGTTCACGTTCATGAATTATAATTATAACAACATGTCAAGCTTGTATGGGGTGGGGTATTTTTGTTAAAGATGAAAGTAGCGTTTGGCCTTGACCTAATTGCCGGCTTAATCCACTTTCTGTAATTCCTCCCCAGATGCCTCGCACATTTTTCCAACTAAATTTACACCTAAAAAAACTTCCCATCTGTAGTACGAACGGTTCCATGCATATCAACACAACCCTGAATAAGCAGATGGGTTATCTAAAATCTTAAAAAAACATGGAACGTAGTTCGTACAGTGCCTGTTTCACAACTGGATCAAACAAGTGCCGCAGAGCGACAGCGCTCAACTGACGTGTACTGAGGCCGGTATTTCTTCTGATAATCACTTGGCAAGCCGATTAGTGCCGTCGCCTCCCGCCACCGCGTGAGTAGGCTGTTGCGTATACGGTTGTACAGTAATAAAGATATAGCTGTGACTTCGCTATATTTAATGATATATTAAAGATATATTTAATGACTTCGCTATATTAACGTTATCATGGATATGCCGTTCGGTGCTTGAGCGTAGTGGGGTGGGGGGTGAGGGTCGTGGGGCACGGTGGAGATGGGGGGGGGCTCTAATAGCAAAAGCAGTTCAATTCATTTGTTAACGAGTCACAAATCCATGTTACCTCCTCTTGAGGGTCAAAAGGTTATAGGGAAGTCTATTTCTACCCGTGATCGTAATAGTGGTTACGCGTGAGTGTGTTGTATTACACCTTGCTAGCGTCTATTTAACTACAGGTTTATAAAGCGACATAACGACTATTAATGTACGTATCCAGTTATCTCTTAATTGTACCAGCACTAACTCATGCATAAGCATAGTGGGCGAACGCTTACAGTGGATGTGCGCGAGTAACATCACAATCTTACGAGGTTATTGCTGAATCGTAGCCGGCTCTAACCAATCTCGTATATATTACAAATCCTCTGTTTGACTCTCTCTCCGATGCTCTCTCTCTAGTCGAACACGACGCGTTATATACCCACATAGGTAGACACGCCTACCTATTGTTTGTGGTCAGTCCGTTCTACGTTACTGTCTGTAATTGGCTAATTCTACCACTGTCTAGGCCAGCGTTATTAACTTTACACAGCTGTCCTGTATACCAAATGAACAATAGTATATCATGTTATTTACTCTCTGTCTTCGACGGTATTGTAGTGGCCCTAGGGTGGCACACTGGATTTTCCCACGCGCTGTGGTTAGCACGTGGAATTTATTTGCTGTCGGATCATTTTTCGTCTCTACGCGAGAAGGTAGGACGGTGATGCAGTCAGACAGAAAACCAGAGTGAAATGAACGCAAGTACTTGATAGTCTTTATACAACTGATGGTTTATCATCACATACGAATATCAGAATAACGTTCACTGCACGTATTTCGAATATAGCGTATAGATATATATATAATATATATTGCTCCTGGTCCGTTACTTTACTCGTTTTAGGTGATTACACGTTTAAACTTCTCTTAGCTATTCTATGGGTTAATATTGTAGCCGTCTCTGTCTCTTACCCAGTCGTGTGCTCCGCGGCTTCGCGCCGAGTTCGTGGTTGGCAGTGTGTCTCCCCGCCGTGGTGTAGGCTATAGCTTCCTTAGTATAAGGTATACCTTCTCGGGCGTCGTCAAGCTTGTGCGAGGTTCTCCCTCCGACGGTGTGTGTGCCGCTCTGGCTCGAGCGTGATCGTTTTCGTTCGTTCGATTCGGTCGTTCGTGCGCGTCCGAAGACTGACTGATATTTACCATTTGATCTTGGCTGCTATATATAGGAGCCCGTGGTGACGTAGGATCCAGGCGCGCTCCTCCGTCCCGTGCCCTCGGTGCCTGGCGTTGTACCCCTCGCTTACACGTGTACAGGTGATGCACCCCTTGTCAGTATACGCGCGAGCGCATCATACCCCCTTGTCTGCACGTGCTCGGCTTGGGCGCCACCCTCTTGCCCGGCGCGTGGATGTGAGGGTGCAACTCCCTGATCTCCCACATGGCTGGCGCACCCTCTCAGCAGGAAAAACTTCCACCTCTGTTGCGATGGTTGGTCTCTGGTTGTATGACGTTATCCCCCTGAAACTCACAACTCTTACTCCCCCTGAAATCTCCACAGTATTACAAGGTTATCAGACCACTTACTCTTCGCACGTCAGCGGAAAAGTAGATTTCACGTCCTTTCATAAAGGACTGAAAATGGTAGGTCTGCGCTGAACAAAAAAAGTTTTGCACTCGGTCCGTTAGACATGTCCTCAGAAAATGTCTGATATCTGACCTTTCCCCCACTGCCCTTTGACTGTGACCTCATCCCACTATACATCGAATATTAAGAGCGGTAGGTCGAGCCGTGAGAATTTGTGTCGCAATCCGTATTTCCTCCTATACCTTAAGTTAAGGGGGAAATATTCCCCCTCCATTGACACATCTTGACCTTTGACCTTTGACCCTTGACTCCCCAAATTCGGCATCCCGTGTCCTTTTCGCGATCCCCCCCCCCCCGAATATCAAGATGTAAGTCGCGTGGTTTAAGATTTGTGGTAACGGTACGCACGGACCGGACGGCGACGGGCGGACGGACTTACATTCATGCGATTCTACAAGCTGCATCTGACTTCGTCAGCTGAGCTAATAATGGGAATGGTCTCAAAGTTCAAAAGGACCAATACAGCATTTCAAATGGCAAAGGTTACGTGGGAGCGAGTACAGCAGATGGCTTATCACTGTCGGTAATTTGTTAAAAAACAACTTTTGTGAGAGAAAGCTCAATAGTTTGTAGGTAAACTGATTCAAAGTTCATGTGACTCGAAATTTAAGGGACTCCACCTGAAAAGTGTGGCAAAAGTGACTCGAGCCGCAAACACTCATGCTTTATTTAGCCCGGCCAGCCTGTACGCGCATGTTGAAATCAACTGTGTAATCTCACCCATCCCAGTGTCAAGGCTGTCGATCTGACTCGAACCAGCACGATGCAATCCCTGCTTGCAATGCATTCTTGGACTTCAAGGAACTTTTACACCCGCTTTGTATTATAAGTAAACAATAAATATGAAATAATAAATTACAATGAATATATTGGAAGTGCTAATAGCGTCACGCTGCGCACATTGTGATATATATTGTGGTTCCTATGCTTTACTATTCTCCGGCTTTTGGTAGTTTTTACTCACAAGTTATGCCTACTGCCAATGTGTCTGCGCTCAGTTTATTACTGTGAAATGTATCTCCTGCAGCTATCACACGATTTATCTCGCAACGTTATTCTTACTCTTTACACCTGGTGGGTTTCATTGGTGTGCCCCTGGTTTGTGATGTGTTCTGATAAATTCAAGCCCCCTGACATATCTACACTAGTCCAAACTCCATTGATTTACGTCTTATAATTAATTCTTTCATTCATAACACTAAGGGGTTCCATGTTACTGGCTCACTCTAGCAGAGATCCTATGTATAGTAAAAGAACGGGACCAAATTAAATAGTTTAGTTAAATTAAATTTAGTTGTAAACACAAGATTCTAGTCTCATTGCACTGTAGTATATCATAATTGCTTGACTATTGCATTTCTTATGGTGAAGATTCAGAGATTCCTCTCCGGTTCACAATCAGTGCGTTCTCACATTTCAGCGTGGGCATACGATGTCACTGGGAGCTACGTGGTAGGATTTGTCATTTCTGGAATCCTGGTCATGGGTGCTGTCGTACTCTTCTTCATTGTCATGCATCTAGAGCAGAAGGAGCATAAGCAAGGCAGAGACAAGCTGGAAAACAACACAGGCGAATACATCACGCCGGTCATGCAGGAAATGTTGTCGTACGTTTAGGATCCAATATTGCTGACATTCGATCTCTTGGCTTTGCATTTCTATCCATTAATAGTTTGTGAATTCTTGCCTGATTGGTTCTGACCAATCCGACCATTTTTTACTATCCATTAACACGTTGTAAATGGTTCTTTGATTGTGGACAATACCTCTATTTTTGTGTAAAAGAATTTAATTTTGCAGGGAGCAAGTTACGTCCATCTAATAGATGCTTGGTGGAGTTAGTGATATCGTCCAACATTCTACAACGTCTCAATGTCAAGGCGCAAGGTCAGCATTGTTACTACCGCGTAGTTCTTTCAAACAAAGGATTGTTAACACTCAAGCACAGAGTTGCTAGCAAATGCTGCAGAACGAATCTTTAGTAAAAGATTCAATTATTGTTTCTCGCCAACTTCGGCCTTTGGATGAATCTCTCGAAAGTTTGCTCTGTTAGGACACAAAATATGGATCTGAAAGGCTGATCTGTAGTCAGTCAACACTACGTGCAACAGTGGTATAATAGTCCCTATTATCTACTTCTGATAATTATCAACCGCAATCTCATATACCTGCAAATAATTAGAGCACCAAAAATACAGGTTCATAGAGAATCTTAGACGAAGTGAAATGAAAAATTTATTATCTCACTTGAGTAGAAGCAAGTGTATCTCAACTGTGGTGAAATGCAGGTGGATCTCAGATAGGGAGGAAGCACACATATGTATCTCAATTGAGAAGAGAGCAGGCGAATCTCAAAAACAAGAAACGAGTCGTAGGCGCGGTAAAATCATGTGAATCGCAGAGAATATTCTATGACATATAACAGGCTAATTTGAGATAGAGAGAGAGAGAGATAGAAAAGGAAGCTCACAATGAAAATAAATCGACGTGTAATCTCTGATGAAGGGCAATCAATTATAAATTTTGGACTAGGGCAATTCAAACAGATGTTACTCTCAGTAAATATGAATTTCTCTCGTGTAAAACTTTTATGTACGTTATCAAATGATGGTACTAGGTGAGGTTATTAGGTAGGATTACCAGGTCCCCGGTTACAGAGTGAGGTTACCAATATGGGCTACCAACTAGGCAAAGTTACCAGGTAAAGTTACTGGGTGATGTTACAAGATAAGGTTACCAACTAGGGATACCAGGCAAGTTTATCGGGTGGTGTTACCAGGTTGGGCTATCAGGTTGGGCGTGTACTACTGGTTAGGGGTCGTTCACAGTTATCAACATTTTCACAAGCGTACAAACCGTACGCTGGGGGGGAGGTGGTCAATGCCAGCCGTACGCTTTCAGCATTTCCGAAAAATGTCGATCCATTTCCCGCGCCGCGCGCCCCAGCCGGCATTGCGCGCATCCTCATGCCGTGACGCCCCGGCCGGCCCACGCCCCGCACGGGCCGCTGAACGAACGAACCGGGCTAGCTAGCTAGCAGCCGAGTGCAGTGTGAACAACCGGCACAATGGCGGGCAATAGTTCTAGCCGCGCTGGTGACCTGGATCAATTGTTGAAATTCCTCCATCAACGAGGATGTATTGTCCACAAGAACCCGATTATTATATATATACCCGAACCTTATTTATTATAAACAGTATTTAATAATTTTGATCTGTTTCCACTTGTTTGTGCCAGAAAATTTCATTCTTTATATCAAGATTTTGTTATATCTGTGCTCGTTATAACAGGGCTTGCATGTAATTCTTGTACATGTATTTCTATGAAGAATAGTGTGAAAAAAATCAACATTTTTAGGGGGGGAAGGGGGGGTCTCGAAAAAGTGTACTCTTTGTACACTTGTGGAAATATTGATAATTGTGAACGACCCCTTACTGGGTAGGTTATTAGCTGTGATTACCATTTGGGGTGACAATTCAAGACACTCCGAAGAGACGATTTAATCAGAAATGGATTCAAGGAATATAAGAACTATATGGATTGGTTAACTTCTAATTGTTGTGCACCAGTGAGATAAATAGTAATTAGAATCAAAAGTTAATTTTCATCCAATTCACTATGAGCAACCTAACTAAAGGTTTAGTGCTTATACATTGATATTTATTCCCTGATCGAGAAACTATTTATCCTTACAATTTACATTTAAATTGCGATTTCTAGTAACTATATTTATGCTTGTGTTTATGTTTATATCTGCGGAGTTTTTTTGCATTCCAAGTTGATTTTGTTTACTAAGACAGTTACTTTCTTCATAATAGAAGACTGTGTAACTGTTTAAGTGGCTCAGGTCAGAACTGGTGCTCACATCTACACCAGACGATTGTTCACCTCAAAAAAATAAAAAATGTAGATGCCTTTTTAACTTACCAAAATCCGATTAGTTTTCGAGTTTGTATCACCAAGCGTATTACATAAAAGTATTGAAACACCAACAGGTAGGGTTATTATGAAGGCCAAGTGTCAGGGTTGGAGGCGAAAGGCCACACTCTGTAGAACGTAGGCCATTATACCCAGTAAAGCTGTACTATTGTTTTTTACTTTTTGCAAATAAGCAGGCATAAAATAGGCATTCTTCACATACAGAAAAATGGTAATTCTCTGATGACGACTTGACTTTTAAGCAGGTTCAGCATTTTCCTTACTTCTTCAAAAATGGAGATAGAACATTTTTTTACATGAACTTGACATGATGTCAGAGATAAAAATATAAATTTCAAGAGGTTACATTCAAAATTTGTCAATAAAAAGTTATTATAGCAAACTGTCAGTGTTATATAGATGCATAAGCTATGTATAGAATCAAAGTATGCATAAAAACAGTATGTAGAAAGTAGGAGAATTTTTGTGTATATAGGATGCATATATTTACAATAATTACATATAGGAATCTCCAAGAATAAGCCATGATAAGCAGATTACATCGCACAGTTAAACGTAGATAGACTAAAGCAATGGAAGCATGGAAGACTGGAGACGTTTATATGTCAATGTGAGTGCGTAAAACCATGTAATATACATCATATGCCGGGAAATTTTTTTTGTAATTTACTCTACGACTATTCGAAATCTGACTAGAGTCATTAAATTTGTACTTATGTGCTTTCAGACCAAATATGAATTTGTTATGCCATTTTTTTAACATGTTGGTTCCTTTTGTATAATATTGAATGCATTTCATTAAATAGTAAGCCACGTGTAATGCAATATAACTAGACAGCAATTCCTTGAAGACCAATATTAGCTGCATCTTTGAATGCCCACGTAATGGCGTAATGCTGGAACAATTGGCTGATCACCTCGACATCGTCCATGAACTCGAGTTTTTGAATTCTCTGTATATCTGCCTGTGGTAGCCTCTTATAAACCTGCATCATTTCCAATGATTCGGCACCATTCCATCCAGTTAATAGGAACCTGTGATTGAGAAAAAAGAAATCATGCTAGTCAAAGTTTATACAACACAACATTGCAGGATGTGTTTAGTCATAAAACTAACAAATGAGTATATATAGTAGGGTGTTCGGCGCAAGTTTATTATGGGATTAGTGTTCTATTGTCTATGACGGAACGCTGGGGGCTGTTGGGGATTATTAGGCATCGAATTGTATTCAGCGTGTAGCGTTTCCAGCGTGCTAAAAATAAATGTGTGCTCACGGCGAGCTAGCAGCTGATTTTAGCTGTGTTGCCATCGTGTTCCTGATGATAAGGAAGCGAAACAAGTGCTGTTACTGTGCTTACCTAATTCTAAGGCCTTTCTTTAGGTGGATTTGTACATGAGGGATATTATCTCTATTATGTACTCTTGATATATATATATATATATATCAACGAGAGAGAAAGAGAGAGCGAGAGAGATAAAGATACCAAGAGAGCGAGGAAGAGAGAGAGAGAGAGAGAGAGAGAGAGAGAGAGAG